TCCTTGGTGGATGCTATAGTGGAGTGTGTGACCATTTTCACTTTCATGCAGGATAAAAGTGGTGTTGCTCTGGTGGCTCATGAAAAATTTCTGGAACCCAAAGAAGTGGAGGTCAGTTTCTATCTCTCTCACACACACACATGCCCCTGCAGGCATACACATTATCTTATAGCTTTAATAATGTGCTTAATTGTTGTAAAATATATATTTAACGTTAATCTTATCTTTTCCAGAAACTTGTTATAACTCCAGTGAAGAAAGAGCTGGGTCTTGCCTTCAAGGGTAACCAAAGGATGGTGGTTGAAGCATTGGAGGTATAACTATGTGCTTGTTTGGGAGTGCTTGAATTATAATTTAAGCAGCAGGTCTTAGAGAATGTGTGGGTAATAAGTTGTGGGGCCATAGAATGTGTGGATAAAAGTGCATTTGACCAGTTTTAAGCCTAATTTAAACTTTGCCAAGCATGCACCACCTTTGAATATTAGATGTTTGTTAGGCTATCTTGTATGCAGTCCTCAAATGTATCAATTTTTTATTTGATTTTTCTCTCTCTGTTTTTACTCGCCTGAGAGACTGAGGAAGGATTTGACATCTCCCTCTTGTCTAGTAGTGATGCTTGAGTTTTCACTTTTCATAGAAATGAGATGAGACTGATTATTTTAGATTGACATCATGTTCTTTTAAGAGATGAGGAAGGTATGGTACTATATGTTGTTGACCAAAGGGAAGAGGTTGGAGAGTCTTGATTTTTTATGAGAACTGTTTCCGCTTGCATGTATTTTTAGCAAAAGTCTAACTTGATTTGTGATCAGGACCAACATTTTGATTTGTGAATGGAATCCATTCGCATATACAACTTTTAGCTTTTCAAGATTTATGAATTTTCCCATTCCTACTTTAAATAGGCCATGGGGGAAAAGGAAGCTATGGAAATGAAAGCTAATCTGGAAGAGAAGGGACAGGCGGAGTTTCATGTCTGTACTCTTGACAAAGTTGTGACTATAATGAAGAACATGTTGTCAATCTCTAAAGAAAAGAAAAAGGAACATCAAAGGGTTTTTACACCGTCAGTGATTGAACCATCATTTGGTATTGGAAGGATTATATACTGTCTGTACGAGCATTCTTTTTATACCAGACCTAGTAGAGATGGAGATGAGCAGTTGAATGTCTTCCGTTTCCCTGCGCTTATAGCACCCATCAAATGTACAGTATTTCCTCTGGTACAGAATCAACAATACGAGGAAGTTGCCAGAGGCATTGCCAGGTCATTGACTGCTGTTGGGATCTCGTATAAGATTGACATAACAGGTATGCTCCATGCAAAATGACGATCTACAGGAAGTGTTTCAGCATCTATATGTTGCCCTCCCTGTTTTTCTGCTTCCTCCTCTCTTTCTGTCCTAAATTTTTAAGTGTTCTTCAATTCTTAGAAACTTGCACGATATCCTATTGGAATGTCTTGGTACTTCAAGTCTGGTGTGCGGATAAGTCTAGTTTTAAGGGAAAAGGAATAATAACTGTGTGTATATGACCCCTTATCCAAATCCACCCCATTAATGGCATACTGATATTTACGTGACATGTGAAGTGTTTGTTCAACTTTTCATTGACAGGAAATCTTAAGATATCTCAAAATCAAAAGAACAGTTCGTTTTCTAATCTCGTTCCTTTTCTTTTTATCCATCATAGTTTGCCGAGCTCTTCAACCTCTCAAGTTCCTGTTCACGTTTCCAAAATCCCTGTTCTCTCTATCATTTTGTCATCTCTTGATCTTTGAATATCTAAAAAGCAATGTCCTAGCTCTTTCCCCCTTTTGGTAAAAGACACAAGTAGAAGTGCACCAAACCTATTTATTGCCTCCTATTGGTTGCTAATTTTTCCCTTTATTACTCACTCTCTACTGTTCAAGTCAATACTCCGGAATGGAACGACTCTTAAGATCCACAATAGTGAGAGGCTGAGGGCTCTCTATGTCACAAGGATAACGAACTCTCTGTGTCTCTTCTGTAGTATTTCAAACTCACTCCCTTTGATTCATTATCGTTCATTGTTCTGCTCCTCAATCTCTTGATCCTATGAACAGTGTTTCCTTGTTCCTTTCCCCTTAACCATCTTCTTGGTGACAGTACTGATGCAATTAGTTAGAAAGACAAAGCGCTCATTTTATTTGCAGATCCATCTCGAAATTCTCAATAGGCTAGCCAACTGGAATACCCTTGCCTGTTTTTAGTATTGAAGTACCCCAACCTGGACAATGCCCACTCTCCATTGAAGTGAGTTGTTGATCTCCTCTAGGGCTTCATTCTGTGAAACCTCAATACACCCTCTTTGACATTACTTTTTAAAGACTTGGTCTGATTCAGTAATATCAGAGACCGCCAGGTATTATCCAATCTTGGCTTGCACCTTTAACGTTAATAATTCTGTTTGCTCCATATGATCAAGATATGAGTAAGGCCTGGACGACAGTGCAGTCCCCCTTTAGCCTACTTCGGCTCCACCAGACTCGGCACATAATCACTGCCTTGCTTTTTCTACGCCTGTGGCCTATCTCAAACACATAATGAACTGCTATGGTCGTCTTTCATAAACGACATGCCACAAATTGGTGTGTCATGGTTCCCACTTTTTCAGGACCATATAGTTATTACACTGATCGACTAATGAAGAGTAAGCAATTAGTTATCAGCTATTAATATCTATAACATGATGCAGGTACATCAATAGGAAAGAGATATGCTCGAACAGATGAACTTGGAGTGCCATTTGCGATTACAGTTGATTCAGAATCCTCAGTTACAGTCCGGGAAAGGGATAGCAAGCAGCAGATTCGCGTTAGCGTGGACGAGGTGGCATCTGTGATTAAGGAGGTGATTGACGGTGTGAGTACATGGGCCGACGTGTTATGGAGATACCCGACTCATTCATCTTAACCACTGAAAAGTGAGTTTGAGAGATTATGTACTTGGCTTTTCGAGGTTTTTAATGTTGTCTTCTGAATTTCTCAATACATCTGGCCGATACAGTTATCGACTTAAAATCTGATTTTTATCTAAACCAAAAGGTATGGAGTTTTTCGACAAATGAATATTGTCACGAATTCCATATAATCAACACGGGTGAATCCAAATTTGTCAAAAATCATATTAAAATCTCCTGTGAACTTGAAAAGCTTTCTTGCCCTGTTACAAGATTGGGCCACTGGCAAATATTTTGTCACAACCCTAAAAGATAAGAATTAGCATAGGGGATATAAATTTTGAATTCAAATGGATGAAATCAAAATCTATAATAGGTTTGTGTGGTCCCTATATCAAATTACTGTTGTAATCAGTTAATACTAATTAAAATGGGACCCTCCTCACGTGCTCTCTCTATCCTGCATTAAATTTAGTTTTAAATTTGAATTATTGATTTTTGACCTATTCTCCATGTAAAATCCGAACTAATTTGAAAAAATTCTGATCAAATCATATCTCAGCATATCATGTATATATAAATCATTATGTTTACAAAGCACAATTGAAAAGAGTTAAATGTTTTCAAACGAGTCGCAGCCTGCTCTGATATAAAAATATAATCAAAATTACAATCGACGTTTTTCGAAACTGAATATCACGTCTATAAAAAGCTGAGGAAAACCATCAATTATATTCTTATTCCCAATTATTAACGTCGATTGTATCAGTTACCAAAAATCAAATTAAGTCATTGGTCCGTATGAAAATTTGACAGGAAGAGGACAATGGAGTTTGAATAATGTTCCCTTTGATTGCGACGCCTTTTGTCGATTGATGAAATTTTACGGCAATTCATTCATATTCTAAAAGTCATAATTTAGGGGTTATTTTCAATGATGGCCACTGGATTTGCACTTAGTGTGTTAGTTAATCACTAAACTTTCATTTATATCAGACTTATCATTAAATTTAAAAATAATAAAAAACACTCGTTCAGTTTGACGTCCATTTTAATTGGAGGGCATATGTGTTAAGTCATCAAATCAATACAATTTTCAATAAAAAAAATCCTACGAGTTCTCACATGTAAACAAACTATATCGATGATTTGAATGAAATATTTTTATTCTTTGATTTTCGAAGAAAAAGAGCATATTTTTGCAGTAAAATCTAAAATAAATTAAAGTTCAGTAAACGTAATAACGTTTCTATAAGCCCCAAATTTTATATAATCTTACAATTCATCGTGAAGTGAAGTGACTTTAGGGCAAAATCGCGTGAATTTTCATTTTCTTTATGAAAAAAGTTGAATTATCTTTACAACTTTCCAACTTTGTCACTCTAATTGCTGAAAATGAGGCACCGAATCCAGCCGTTTTGCACTACCCTTTAGTTTTTCTTTTTTAAACCTTTTCCCACGGCCCCCTTTATTAAAGACCCGAAGAAAAATGAGTCTTACATCTTATTACATTGGTTCAACCGAACCCCCATTTGTTTCTCATTTCTGGAAGAATGAAAATGAAAAATATAACCGTTACAGACCCCACACAGAAGATATAAATTCAAATTTGGTGGCTTGATGTGATGAATAACGGTCATATTTTTCATTTTAATAAAGAAATATGGGAACCAAACATGGGTAAATATTTGTCCGATATCATTTTTTTTTATTTACCTAACATTTTAAAGTAAGCTTTTGCCAACGCCAAACATTTTGAGTGGAGCGTGGCGTGTCACATTAGATAAAGTTGGCAACATGATTAACAATATAATTACTTGCAAAACTAGCAAATGGTACACATATTTTCAACCTTTTCAAATGCCACATTTATGTCCATTTGACATAACTTTTCAAAAGTCGAAAGTTACTTAAAAATTAAGAAGTTTCTTTTATCATATATCAAACAATCATTTGTATCTTGAATACGTCTTTCTTTCTTAATATCCAATTGAACGGACTGAACATGCTGATTTCTTGATGAATTAAATTCAGAATTCAATTTGGGAAATTGTTCAATAAGAAAGATAATATTTGAGTGTAATAAAGATGAAATTATATTGCCCTTTTAATAGCACTCTCTTCACGAACAGATCGTTTCATAATTCTACAACAAAGCATCATGAGGGCATTGATGGTACCACGAGCACTCGAGTATGGCACAAAAGAACATGTTTGGTATATAGAGTATTGAACGAGTTCGACATGACAATGACAAACCTGCCTAACTAATAGTAGAACAGAAGATTTAATCCATCTGAATTAACAGGTGAAATAAAAATGAATAAGAAAAATTTCTACTTCACAGATGATTTTTTGTCAAATTCTGGTCTGAATGTTGGAGAAGAAGCCAATGGGAGTACCTGTGATTCTTTGTTGTGGCTCTTATTGATAAATGACATAAAAGAACCATTCTTTTCTTCTTCACTCAAAATTGAAATTGAGGCCCTTTTTTTCTCAGCTTCTTCCATTAGCAATCTTCTAAATAACTTATCTTCTGCGTCTTTCAAGAACTTGAACTTTGGAGGAGGTGAAGATCTTAATCTATTAACTTCAGCCTCTGATAATGATTCAAAAAGGGGATTAAATCCACGGTTATAACAAGAATCAAAAGCCTTAACTGAGGGTGAAGAAATAGGGGTTAAATATGGTGTGCCAGTTCCATCTACACCAATAAAAAGATCACTCAAACTTCTTGCTCTTGATCCTTTTCTGCTACTTCTATCACCCTTTGATTTCCCATCATCAGATTCCAAATCCTCCTTGCTTTCTTCCTTGATTGTGAAGAGAAATCTTGGGGGGCCACAAAGATTGTGCAGCCTCATCAGTTCAGTTTCAACACCATCTTCACCATAGCCTTTCAATAGCAAATCTTTGCTTGACCCTAATTCTAGGTCAATTTCTTCATGCCCATTAATGGATTCTTCTGGATTTTTCACTGTATTTGTCTGTTCTTGGCTACCGTTTAAAGAATTAGGCTTGTTCCAGCAAAACAGACGAGAAAAACTTTCAATTTCTCCACTGCTACTTGTTATTCTCCTCTTCCGCCATAGTAAATAATATAGCTCTGCCACAAGACCAACTAGAATAAAACCAAACACAAGACTCAACCCAATTCCTAACCCACCAAAAGATCCCATTTTTACCTAAAAACAGTTCTAGATTCCTAAACTAAAAAAAAAAAAAAATTCTTGAATTACTTTGTTTTATCATAGTTTGGCTTGAAAAGCAAAGACCCAAGAAGACCTTGAAGTTCATGCTTCTTTAAAGGTTCACTGCCTAAGATACACGCATGCTATGGGCTGTGAGAATCTTGGGTGGAAATGGGAATAAACCTTACCTTGTCATTAAGCTCAGAATCTTAAGAATAGAAGAAATAGAAAGATGTATTTGATTTAAGGAAAGTGTAAAAGGGTAATAGTAGTATATGATTCTGTGATGATTCGAAGAAACAGATCTAGACTGGCAAAGTTCATGGTGATGTGTGTGTTGTGTATAGAATGGTAGCAAAGGTCACATCTTTCCTGGATGCCTCACATGGGCTGGCAAAAGCATTAATCTTAAAGATACAAAACAA